AAATAGCCAAAACCACCATCTGTGCAGTGCTGAAACGTTTCAAGGAACGTTTGGGGGTAACAAACTCGGTAATGTTCACAGTAAAGTTCAGAATATACGCATTCGGGAAGGTTTCTTCAAGTATTGGCCTATTAAGCAACCGAAACGGAACGTAAAGCAACCCGTAAAATAAATCCAATCCAATCCATTGTATCGTTAAAAATCGAAATCTATTTTTTCTACCGTACAATAATTTAACAAAAAAATTTATGTACTCAAAATTCAACAGTAAAAATCATTGTAATTTCGTTGTTTTATTATAATTATTTTTTTCGGGAACACATTACGGCCAAAATGCGGGCTCGAAAGTGGTATGACCAGGTGCTGATCAAATTCAACGAATGCATCCTTATGGACGATGAAACGTATGTCAAATTGGACCTCAAACCAGGGTGGCCAGACCTACTGATTTATCGGTAGTCCTACCGATTTTCGGGATGCCTACCGATTCACAGACGAAAGGTTAAAACCCAAGGTTGCAAATACTCATGTCAGCTAAAATAATGTTTTTCGGAATAATAAACCCAAAAGATGGTATGATGACATGTTTTACTTGTAACTTACAAGAAGAGTTTACACAGTATGCGTTTGAAACATAAAACCTGTAAATTTTGCTTTCTATGAGTCACAATCAGCAATTTGCTGATCGCTGAGTGAGTGAGTGAGTGAGTGAGTGTGTGAAAAATCGCTGATTGTGACTCTCATGAAGTGAAATAAACAGGTTTAATATGTCAAACACATTCTTTGCAACCTCTTCTTGTATCTTACCAATTCAAAATATGATCATAGCATCTAATTATTTCATAATTTAAAAAAAAAAAAACATTGTTTTAGCTGAAATGATTATTTGCAACCTTGTTAAAAACTACCGATTTCTCACTTTTCCTACCGAGAATCATAGATGTTTAGTAATCTTGAAAAATGTTCAATACCTATGTTTTGTTTTCCGTGTAGTCAGAATTAGCATTAGAATTAGAAAAATTGATTTCGAGACGATTAAAGTAGAAATACTCATAAGGAGAGATGAACGGAGAGAACATTTTGAGTCAAATGTTCAGTCAAAATTGGAGCCAATCGAAAATTCCCATTAGATTTTTTCCGAGGATTTCTTATTCTTAGTAAATTAAATTTTAGAGTACTGCAATCGAACAGAAATTCAATCACCTTTATTTTTGGTGTGCTTCTCAAATTCAACTAGTTTTTGGATTCAAAAACAATATTCAAACTCTATTGATTAATTGAACTTAGATTCAATCAATTATTAATTTTCACGTAAATCTAATCAGGATTTTTCTGAGGCATAAAAATCTCTGGTCACGTCTTCCTTCGGAAGGAAAGTAAAGCCGTTGGTCCCGGCCCATGTGTGTTGAATGGGTGCGATATCCTACGCAGGTGTGGAAGCTGCCTTCCTGCACATTCGATTGCCGTCAATGGATGGCAATCGATGTCCGTCGGTGATTGGCACTAGATTGCGGAACAGAGACCGACGTTCAATAAAGGAAAGAAGTAAATCCAACCAAAAATAAATGAGTCAGGTAAAATGCTGGTTGCATGATAATTTAGGTACAAATCCCTGCTGCCGAATTGTATTTTGTTTTCTCCATCCATCTCTCCCTCTGAGTATTTCTAGTTTAAAGCAGAAGAACTGAAGGACAATCTATTGTTCTGGATCATGATGATACTAGATTCCCTTTCACAGATTTCAGAATAGAGTACCTAACCTTACACACTTAGAAATTATTACCGACATCCAGTAAATTTTACCGAACTTTTAACAGCTGAACTGTTCGGTAAAAATCAGGCATTTTAGTTCATTAGTATTAAGGATTCAAAACAAGGAAAACTTCTTCATAATGACAAGACTCTATTGTTTAAACAAAGCTGACATTCAGTTAAACAGCTTTTTCAATGAGGGTCAAAGTTTTACCGAACGATCGGCCGTTGAAAGATCGGTAAAAAATTACCGAAGTCGGTAGTAATTTCCAAGTGTGTAGAATGGTTTTCCATGCCCCACCTTTATAAAATGAGCAGGCAGTCCAAATTTCCGAAGAAACAATCACGTATTCATTATTTCAAACTGTAAATTGGACAATTTTTTACCATAGTTATCTTAAATACAAACTTATAAATAACTAATTTTACACGTGGCAGAATCCATCTTTGACATAAACGATGAGACGTAAACAAACATGTCATGTAACATTAAGTGCTCCGAAACTGATAATTTCGTTGCCTGACGAAAAGTACGTTTGATTGAGCTATAGTTCGCGTCTGTTATGACTCAAATTTATGTCAAAATTGACGCTCGTATATGTCACTCTCAGAGCACCTAAGTTTACATGATTTTTTCTAAGTGCGTAAATGCAAGTAAATTATGATGGGTGTTTTTGTATTATGTACATACAATAATAGAAGAGCAATAGTTTGTATCGATTAACTCGATTTATTTACATTTGTTACTTAGGATCTTTTGAAAAGTTACGCGAGTATTGTGCTTTGGATTGAACCAGCCCAGTGGCAGGCGCGTAGGCAACATGTTATACCGTGACAGCGGGCCCAGCACAGCAAAATAAACAATTTGAGCCCGGGACATGCTGTCTACTGTCAAACGCTGCTGTTGGTATAGGCCTTGTCACTGGCCTGGATTGAACAGTTCAAAATAGGTTGGTCCTAGCTGGCATTTATTGTTCTATCCCTTATTAATGGTTACTCATGTTGTGAGTTAGTTTCGTTTTCAGTGTGGTCATCAGGGAAGGGAGGTAGAGGTCGAACCTATATCCACTCTTGATTACGAAGGGCTAGAGGGGAGTCAAAATCTTGCTTTTTCTGTCCACCTGTTATATCATGACCTCTTGTAAGGTCACACGGTCGATCAGACCGACTCAAAATTGAGTCGAGTCGACTCAATTTCGTCAAAAGTGGATTTACTCATGAGATGATTTTTCCGGGATACTCTAGGGAAAACTTCTAGTATATGAGGAAAATCGTCACTCAGTCTATTAGTATATTCCAATATGTATTGAGTAAAATTTTCATGGATTTTCCTCCTATACGTGAAGTTATTCCTGATTATCCACGGCTTTTGCGCGGAACATTCAACTCAATCTGATCAACCATGCAGTAACTGCAAATACTTCCAAGCCTCGAAATCATCATCATCATGTCGATAATTTTGATGATGATAAAAATCTAGTTGGTATTCTAAACTGAAATTTCAGTGCTTCCTTACCAGTTATCTCTGATCTCCAACATATGTTCTAATAAAATTTGACGTTAGATGCAACAGAGTAGATAAAATGTCGTGTTTCTAAAATCAGGAACGCACGGCAATAACAAATTGATATGATTGTTCAAATAGGTTCTTATTCTTCATAGAACGAGTTTTGGGAATGAAAGTCAGTTCAAAACAAATTCCAACTTGTTCTCTAACTTCATTGAACCCCCCACTTTCGACAACCTATAAACCGCTTCATCAACAGTAGTCTCTCTAAAGCGACTAATTCCCACTACAATCCACCACTCGTCAATGAATCATTGCCTTTGATGACACTCCAACAGACGGGTGGCACAAGTGGGAGAAAATTTCCATCTATTGATAAACAACCTTTCCGATCGAACAACCGTAACGTTGTGCTGCCGAGGAGGAGGCTTTAACAAAGCGAATTTTATGCTCACGTGCACATCAAAGCAAAGTATCAATTCACAAATCGCGGAGGCCTCTCGAGGGGAAACATATACGAAATTTCACGTCCCTCCATTGTATTGTTTTCCGACAGGTCTCCCCTGTCCCACACACATAATCCGAAACCCATCATCAGGTGGAATCGAAATTTTCGATTATTCGTCTAAAACAGGTTTTTCTTTCTCTTTGTAACTGTTTGCCTTTGGAAGTTGTTTTGAGTCAACCCTGCCAGAAGCTTTCACCTTGACGAAATTCGAAATCGACTTCCAGACGACACACTGTTTACAAATTTCATTTAAATATCCCCCCAATCAGAGGGTTTACGAAAATGGTGGACATCTCACTCGATAACAACAACAACAAGAACAACACCACCACCGTGAGATACGCGGAAGTTTTGATCGCATCTTCAATTTCAAACCCACTGCACGATGAAGAGGCAGAGGTTACTGTTGTTAGGGTTACGTACGATCGATCGCGGAACCTACTTTTCTGCTCGAGGCGGCTCTTATTTACCAAACAACTCTTCAGTTTTCGACCGCTCCTTCTTCGGCGAGGTGGTGTCTACTTGGTCCCTCACTACTCTTGCATAGCGCAGTCCTCCTGAACTCAGCAAAAAAAAAAAAAAAAAACAAGCATCGAAGATCGATGATGTAATGCCCGATCAATTTCGCCGTCTGGCGGCCTGGTGACTCTCCGTCAGGCAATAAGAGGGAAATGAGCAAGCATTTCTCCCCATCAGCGAATAGAATTAATTAGGCCTGCGAACAGGTACATATGAGCCTCGAGAGCTCGATCGTGTCCATGCGCTCATATAACCTAAATTATACGCATATGTTCGCGAACGACTTTGGCGCGCCACCACCACCATAGTCAGCACTCGTCGTCGGACCAGATCACGACACCGCACATTCCTCTCTATCTGCTGAAATGCGAAAACAGCTATAAAAACTAAAAAAAAAATCAGTCACTGCACTCGGATTCGGGCTTAATAATCTTCGCGCTGCAAAACTCATTGCACTCGATTTTTCTTCTCTCCTCCACCATCCTCATCCACTGGTAGACATTTTTTCTTCATCTGCAGAATTTGACTTGCATTTTCCCACACGCGCACTCGATTCTCCGATGTGTAAACTCAAATTTATTTACCAAGTCAAATTTCTGACAACTTTTTACGACGATCATTCACCGACCCCCCGGCACGCCACCACATCTCCAGGCAACACACAAAAATATGAACACTGCGCTGGATCAAAGCCTGCTCCGCTCGTCTACTTACATCTCTTCCACCCGCTTTTTGGTAGCAGCAGCGGCAGCAGCAGCAACAACAGCAACAACAACAACGATAGCCACAACAAAACAACTACTCTGGCAGAAATCGTCAGACGAACGTAGAATGAGCAGAGGTTCCAACCACAACAAGATCTCAAACTCAACTGAGTCGCTGATGCGGAGTTGCAGAGAAGCCTGCCTCGAGTCGAAGTTGGAATGTCTTGGCTGTGTGGTGTTGGTTGAGACTTGTACCACCCCCTCGTGTGGTTTGTACCTCGTGACGTCGTGCCTTTTCTTCATGGGTATGAACACGACCGCAAAAGAAAACACCACACTCGTGTTGTAGAGAGTTTGTAAACAAACGCTTGAGCTTTTAAGGAAGGTATGCACCATTCCACGAGCATTGTATGTACACCGTCGATCAGATCGAATCCAAATTGAGTCTGAATTTCGCTCAAAAGAGTCGAAGGTGAGTTGAATTTTCTGGTCAAAAGCTGTGGAAAATCAGGGATCTGAGACATGACACAAAAATCAAAACGGTCACTGCGTTGTATTTGTCGCAAAGTTGATTATGTGATTAATCATTCGAGTTCAAATAAAAATATTCAAACAACGATGCATTTCGTGAACCTACAAGGGTGGATGTATACAAAATGCTTCAATTTATATCAACCAGATTATAATAATATTTAATATGTCATTGATACATAGAATGCTAAACATAAAAATAATGGAAAAGTCTCACCATATGTCTCGTATGAAACCCATAACCGCATCCTGTCGCTAGCATTCGCTGGCATTGAATCTCCACAACACGAGCAACAGAAAGATCGCGGTTCCGCTCCTACTCCAAACATACACAGAACATCATCTGACCATCTAACGCACCATCATAAACATGGTGAAAATACAGGAAAAAATACTACACGTCCGACGGAACCGAAAACAGCGCAAACCCGAATCACAGCTTCAACGACCGGAACTCCGTTGAAAATACACATGGAAATATCCTTAGCACGGCCATAAAATCCTGCACTCGTGAACTGCTCTATAAAAATGTTATCAAGTGGCAGAGCGCCTCCGGCTCAAACGCGACGAACGAACATAGATGAAACATTTGACAACCGGAATATTTTTGCGTCCGTTTAGAAGCAGGGCACACTTCGATCGAACCATACATGAATTTTTGCTGCCATTTGAATGAAACATTTTATTTTGATATAGGGTTTATGATCTAATTTCCGAGAAGATCGAGGTAGGCCGTGCATTGAAACTGACGTGTTTTGAATTTGCTGCTGCTTTATTTTCTGAGAAGTTTATTGAAAATTTAGTGCAATAAGTCCTTCAGCTGGTGCATTTTGACACCTGAAAGCTTTTTCAATAATTTCGCGTGTGTTTATTAGTGCTGTGTTTGGTTATTTAAAAAAAAATGATCGATGTGTTTTTAAGATTACCGCGAGTGAACAAACCGGGTTTTTGTTTTTTCTTACTTCGCCACCGCCGTGAATTGTTGCGAAAAAGCAGATCTCCGCTGAATTTTCTAATGTACGCTGTTGAATCGTGTCCATTTGGGTTTAGTTACAAGTGCATAATGATCCGGAAGCTGGACGATCTACGGAAGGAAATTGCTGGTGAAGCACGGAATGAAATACGAAGCGTTAGAAAAAAAGTCCAAGGGATTCCAAAGGAAGCAATTAACGACGGCGGAAGAGCAGAATATGGTGAGAGCTTTCCAATTATTTAAAAGAAAAAATAAATATCAAAATTAAACTAAATACATGCCAAGTTTGAAAAAAATATTTTCGAACCTGGAAGTGTGTACATATAACCAACATCCATTTGATAACGGTGATGCATACATGCGGGGCTTATTGTAAGTGAAAGTAACCTCGGAATGGGCGTGACTCTCCAGACATTCTGAAATGGGTTGCTGGATCTGCAATATAGCTATCACCTTCTAACTCCCGGACTAAAGCTGTCTACAATGACCATAAATGCGACATTGTAGAGAGAGTTCTTCCATTATAACACTGCCGGCCAGTGGGGGTTAGAGGGAATACACACACACACACACACACACACACACACACACACACACACACACACACACACACACACACACACACACACACACACACACACAAAAGCTGTGGAAAATCAGGAAAAACTACTCGAATATGAGAAAATCCAAGAAAAATTTAACCCAGGATAGCAGCATACTAATAGGCTGAGCGAAACCTCTATCGATTTTCCTCATATTCGAGAAGTTTTTCTTGGAAAATCCCGGAAAATTCATCTCCCTATTGAGTAAATGCCCTTGTTAACGACGCGATCGATTTACACTTGGAACGCTATCGCTTGCTATCAATTATTTTATTTGACGGGTGAAAAAGTACTCGTACTGAAAGTTGAAGCCCTTGCTATTTTCAATGTTATTGAAATTTCCGCAGGACTCAAAGCTAGTTGCTATAACGAACTAATTTTATTCTAGTAGTAGTTAAATTACGTTCATTTTCCATTGATTATGATTTTACAATCTTCGTACATTCCAAATGATTAGCTTGAAGGGCTCTTCATCTTTGTTACATTTGCTATTCTAATTAACGTGTTTACGTTTTTCAACTAGTTTACAGGATGCGTTTTGCTTCAATTTAATAGTAAAGAATTTGATATCCCACCTAACTCCTAAAAAGTTAACCTAATTGGAAAGATCGCGTATGATCTGGTGATTTGATCTCAAACAGGCATCTCTAAACCTTTCGAGGCCGAGCGTACTCCGCTCCTCTAGTGTCTGAAGACCAGCCAGGCGGTGGATCTCAGAATTTCGAGTCCACGAGGGATTGTTGAGGATCATCCTAAGGATCTTGTTCTGGATCCTTTGAAGTTTAAGTTGATGGCACTTAGCACAGCTCCCCCAGATTTGCGTTGCGTAAAAAATACCATAACCGAACGATAACCCAAATGATTGAACTATTCCACAAATGGTTTGGATGATATCCTGAACACGTCGTTAATCAAAATAACCATTCAAATTTAATTAGGGTTGCTTGTGGATGGCAAGCTTGTTTTAAAGGGAAAGCATATGGACTTTCTGTTGATAAGTGGGTAGAGTGACCTAATCAAGATGTTGCACTTGGTGGATGTTTTGTTCACCCTGGGAACGCAACAGCAACTTACTTTAAGGGTGAGACAAAGGTCGATGGGATTTTTCAGTTACCAGGCGGGACAAGTCGAGGTGAATTGGAGTGTGGAAAAAGTGTGGTCTGTTTTGTTGGCTGCATTAATACACATCTTTTAGTTTTTGAAATAGTCGGACAGAACATCCAGGCCTGATCGGAGTTTTCTCGTAAGAACACGGATCACTCAACCCTTATAGATGATGGCAATGTCATCCGCAAACATTGACAAAATACCACCACCCGAAAGGAAAGGAACATCTGACGTGAAGATGTTGAAGAGGATAAGACCAAAGATGCTACCCTGGGGAACCCCAGCATCAACGTTGAACGTATCAGAAGGTGAATTGTTCTAGAAGACCTGATCTGCCCGACAAGTAGTTTTTGAAGATCAGGAAGTTGTATCGATGCAGCTTGTACACTAGGCCATCATGCCCGACATTGTCGAACGCTTTTACAACGGCCAGCAATGCCATGGAAGATGTATTGGAAACGGACTTGTTCCACTTGATGATGTTAGTAGCCCGTGCGAGTTGGTGGATGGTATACTGACCTTTCCTAAACCCGAATTGCTCTTTGATAAAGATGTTATTATCATTTGAAAATACCAGCAGACGGCTGAGTATCAACTTTTTAAATAGCTTCGAGATGAAGGACAACAGGCTGATGGGGCGATAGCTTTTGACACTGGTAGGGCCTTTGCAAGGCTTGTGGATTGGGATGACTTCGGCTAACATCCAGCATGAAGGGAAGTAGCCAAGCACCAAATGCTTATTGAAGACCGCTGCAAGGTGTCCGAAGAAGTCAACACTCAAGTTTGTCAACTCGAGGTTGGCCACTCTATCGACACCAGCGGCCTTTATGTTCTTGGTTCATTTAATGGCTGATATCACCTAATCAGCCGATATTCTACTTTCTAGACTCTAGACGTTGCCTCCGATACTGCAGGACGTTGCCTCCGATACCGCAGGCTCATGGGGACTCACCAAGCCTTGGCCAAAGTTATGTGAATTCACAAAGTGTTGCCGAGAGCATTGGTCTTTTCAACTGGGGTTATGAGCAAGGGTGGATCCGAATTCTGATTAAGAGAAAGGGGAAGGGGAGGGATGGGCCTCGGCTTATTTTTAAAAATCTGTGCCATTTTCCAGAACGACTTAGCACAATCTGGAGGAAAGCGAATCTTGTTTGCAAAATCGTTATTTCTGAGATGATTTTGTTTAAACGGTTGCAATGGTATTCAAGAAGTTTGTCTTGGAAAATCGAGGAAAAATTGGCTTATTCACTGAGAAATCCCATTTTTTTTTTCAGTCAAATTCTACTCAATTTTGAGTTATTCTCATTGGTCACGTACTTGTTTACTCATAGATTTAAGGACAATCGAAGAACATTTTATCTCAAACGTTTGTGATTTTACTCACTCATTAAGTAGCCCCACTTTGGAGAGAAATCATACTGAATTTTGACGAACTGAAACAAAACGTACGGGTAAACTCTTTTATAACCACCCAATCGGTTCGTCTCTCTCTGGTCTCTCGATAGTCATAGCGAGCATGCAGGTGATTGGTTGATTGCATTGCGGCCAAAAATTTTGAACAATTTTCAACTCAGTCCTCTTGTTGCGATTGAGGCAACCTCTTCTTGTGGATAATCTCATTCCATCATACCGTTTGAGTCTTCTGTTTCGTTCTTAATTTAAATTTTTGGTTCTGATTGAACGAACCCACCCTGAGGAACGTTTCAGGAGACGGAAAACCGGGGAAGTCAATTTAGAGTGGAGTCTATTAAGAGACATTCACCTGATCTAGGAAGGACAAGCCTCGGATTAGTTCTTCACATACGGTGATGAGTTCAAGGATTGGGATGACTTCGAAGAGAGGATAAGATTTCGGTTTGGGAATCCAGATCCAAGGAATTTGGTATAGGACTCATGAAAGGAAGCAACACAGTGGCGAATCATTCAATGCTTTCGACACGGAAATACCCA